AAAATAAATAAAATCAAACTTGGGTGACATGTTATAATTTTTTTAAAAAATCACTTTAATTCTTTAACTTTAAAAATAAAATAAACTATATAATTTCAGAACCTCAATATTTTTTTAATTTAATTTTTACATTAAAGTTTTTTTTTTTAAATTTTAATATTTTTTTATAGAAAATAAAGAGATTTATTGGATTTGGATGATAATGAAAAAAAAGTATTATATTGATAAATTTTATTTTTTAAATAAAAAATAATTTTTAAATAATATTTTTAATATATATAGTTTTGGATGATTTTTTGTCCGTTTTTATTTTATTGGATTAATTTAATTTATTTCTAAATTTTTTTATTTTATTTAAATAAAAATATTTTAATAAATAAATTTAATAAATATAACCAAGTAAATATTTCTTGGTTTAATTTCTTTATTTATATTAGTTTTTTAATTTTTTTAAATTTTATTTTTAAATATTATAAATAATATTTTATTTATTTATTCACGGACATGATGCGCAGATTTTTTCATTATTTGCATGAATAATTTAAAAGGACAAAGAGAGTTGGCACTGTCATGTCATCCACCTCGAGGCCGGTGCACGACTTCTTATGATCTTCAAGTCTACTTTGCCAATAATTTAATAGAGAGATAATTACTTTATATCAATAATGAGATCCACGCTCACAGCCTGAAATCTTAAAAGGCTCAAGTGCCGGAAATCTTAACGGAGAGATGATCGCTTTTAACAGTAGCTCGTAGTTTGCATCCACTGTCTCATCCTTTTACTTTCCTCGAGGTGGCAATATCCTGCAAAATTCCTTTAAAAAATAATAATATTGGGACATGGCGGAGGTGCGGCCGACATGTATCCAGTTTCTATATGCTTTTCTCGCTGCTTAAATGATTGAGAGATTTTGTACCCTAAAAAATAAAAATGGCAGAGAGATTAGCTTAAAAAATGGCTCAGGGTTCATGATTGATTGTAGACTGTGATGTAAATCCATTCAGAGGACAAGAAGGGTGTTTTTCTTTAATCAGTTCTGAAGTTTCGAAGATCCCACTATTTTGTCCTGACATAGTATTGATATTGTTTTTCCTAGCAAAGAAGACGAATCAAGGCTGAATAATAAAAACCACATAGTAAATAAATAAATCCACTTGCAAATTAAGATGGGTAAAGAATTGAGGCTTTGTAAATCGACCAAGACTGTTTTTTCTATATTAAATATTATTTTGATTAGAATAATTCAACAATCTTAGTGTAATAATTTCTTATTAAAAAAATTATTGAAATTTCATGCACAACATTCCAACAAGAGGTTGTAATTATCACGGAGAATCGGGTGGCCAAAAGATCCTTTACATAGTTTTGTTGTTTGGGCTTTTGGATACATGCTTGCAACGGGCCCGAGGCCTCCTCAATCTTCGTGAAAAGTTACGTTGCATGGCCAGAAAAAAGAGACTAAAAAGATTATTTATTTTATAAAAAAAAGTAAAATAAAAATCAACCGAGATTAAGGAGTAAAATAAGTCATCGGCCTACTTTATCTTCTTTTTTTTTTTTACTTACTTCACTCATTTGTCCTGTCTTTCTTTTTGTTGGTTTGAGCACATTAAAAAATGAATTCAAATATAAAAGATCACATGCCAATATATATATAATTTTGGTGATATATATATATATAGGCTCCGGTTATCATTCAAAATGAAAAGAAAATCCTCTACCAATAATAACATGTTCCCTAACGATGGTCATAAGCATTAAACACACAAGAGATTGATTATTGTTTTTTTATTTTTTTAAGTTAAGTTGTGATTTTTTATTTATTAATATGAGTGTTTAGATTAACTTTTATATAGCTTAATTAATTTTTTAATCATAAAATTATTATTATTTTTTCTTATTGGGTGAGGGGTGCTGTGGAATTATTTTGAGTTTGGAAGTGCAACAATGAGAACATATATGACATTACCATGTAAATTTCTTCTGCGTGTGCATAGGACAATTTTCAAGCTAGCTATACTGTAAATGTTGTAATTGGTGCGAAAAGTTGTTATTTTATTTATAAATATTAGTTTTATATTAATATAAATTAATTAAAAATAGTGTTCTTTTTATTTTTTTTCTTAACAAATTATTTGTTTATTTTTATATAAAAAAACTTTTTAATAAACTTATATAAATTGTTATCTACATGTTTAAATTTTTATTGTATCCTAAAAATATATTGTTTTAACCTTGCAACAAATATAATAAAGGCAATTAATATCTTAAAGAAATATCTCAAAGCTAATTTGTTATACCCACTAACATTACAATAGTCACTTAATTTTTTTCACACAAGCTGATAAGATAAATCACTAGCTCAAAACAACATCCAGGTTAAGTTTTCTTTTAAATTTTTACGTGTATTAACTTGGTCGAACCCGAGTAACTTAATGAGTCAATTCACCATTTATATGAGAACCGATTAAGTAAAGATTAAGTCAACTTGAGGAATATTTTTTATATTCAAAATAATATTATTATTTTTTATCTAAAACAATATTGTTTCGTTAAAAAAAAACTTAAACATCTATATTTAAAAATAAATCTGAGCTGAACTGCCAACCTGTGAATTAATCTACTAACAGTTCACTTATCAAATCCAGAACTCAAATTTTGGAGCAAAAACAAAGTGAAGGAAAAACACCACTACTGTATTTCGACGGCTTTCTTCCTGGAAGCCCGTGGGAAGGGGAAATAGAGCTGATGGGCGTCCAAAACGATGTCGTAAGAAGAGAGATGAAAAGGACTGAGGCTGATTAATTACTTGGGCCAAGTATAAGCTGGAGCTCTCATCAACGGATCATGGAACGAATTCGAAATGGCTAGATGGTGGCTTGTCGCCTTGAATCGGGAGTCGGCGTCGAACGAAGGAAGGTCACATTCCGGTGTCAGCTAAGTCTTATAGTATAGGCCCACTTGAGAGGCACTGGAAACAATGGAGTCACTGGTTTGTATGTGTGCACTCTCTCAACATTTGTATACACATAACATAAAATATGGCCTTCGTCTGCATTTAACAGTCCCAAGTCATTTTTAGAGGGGAAAAAAACTGCAACTCCAGGTCACGTGAAGGAAACGAGATGCTGTAAATTGTCAAAAACTAATGCAAACAAAATATCATATGCTGTCCGACGTCCGTGACAATCCTCTAGAAATCCTGTCGAAGTTTCAAGGGCGATACGACCTCAACTCTTCAATCAAAGCATTGAAATCAGAGCAAGAAGATCCACCTTCTTCAACAGCCTTCATTGCCATTTCTCCTAGCTTAATTGCTCTGCTCCTCTTTTCCTCTGCTTCTTCACCCACCATGATTTGAGTGATTGCCTTCTCTAAAGCTTCACTTTTAACATGATCTCCACGCACTCTAGCCCATTCCTTGACTCCAACACCAACTCCAGTTTTTAAAACATCAGTCACCAACTTTTCATTATAGAATTGCTCAGCAGATACAGGCCATGTAATCATGGGCTTCCCTGCAGTTATGCCTTCAAGAGTCGAGTTCCATCCACAGTGAGTCACAAATGCACCTATTGCTTCATGATCAAGAATCAACACTTGGGGTGCCCACCCTCTTATAATCAGCCCCTTGTCTTCCATTCTTTCTTCAAACCCTTCAGGTAACCAATCTTCCTTATCTTCTTTACTGTTTTTGTTTCTTCTTACAACCCAGATAAATTGCTGGCCAGAAGCTTCAAGGCCTGTTGCAATCTCCTTTAGCTGAGAGGCAGAGAAGCTTGCCATAGTTCCAAAGCAGATATAAACAATTGAATTGGGTTTCTTGGAGTCAAGCCACTTCAAACACTCATGTTGATCAATTGAGGCTTCTTTTCCTCTTCCTGATTTATCCTCGATATCTCTATTGCATAATGAAACCGGGCCTACATTCCAGGCCCTTCTGCCCAAAACCTTCCTGTAATAATCAGCATAAGCTGGCTCAAGCTCATAAAAGCTGTTGACAACAACACCGAAGCTCCTCAACTCTGATTCTTTGGATGCTTTCACTAACTTCGTGAAGTCATTTTGAACATTTTCTCTTATAAAATCTGGCAGTTGTTTCCTTGTCAACTTTATATCACCAGGAAGATTAGGCACAACAAAAGGTTCATAATCTGATGAAACATTCTTGTGTGGCTCATAAAGTCTAACGCATTCTCCAGCACTTAAAGCAAAGTTACTAGTGCCATGAAACACTAGTCTCGGAATTCCAAATTTGGCAGCAGCATCGGTCGCCCAAGGAAAGAACATATCAGCAACAACGCAATCAGGATGCCTTTCTTGCAGTACCTTCTCAAAGGGTTCTTGAAGGAAGGTTGTGGCAATGAAAAACTTCTTGGTCATTTCCCCTGCATTTTCATTTGTAATGAATGCGTCTGTGTTTTCACATCCTTCAGGCAATCCTGCCTCTGCTGCAGGGAATTTGATGGTTTGGATATCAATATCAAAACCCAAATCTTTGGTTTTTTGGATGGTTTTGGAAAAAAAAGGCGCGTTGAGAGGAGTGGTGATGATGGTTGTCTTTACGCCTCGAGAAGCAAAAAGCTTGGCCATGTCCACAGTTGGTATCAAGTGGCCATGAGCCAAGAAAGGGAAGAAGAAAAAGTGTAATTGGTTACCCGAACTACCCATGTGGCCTTGTTAGATAAAACAAAAAAGAACTTGGTGTTGAAAATGGAACTTAGCTTGTCAGTGAAAATGGATGAATTGATGATGAAGATGAAGAAAACCTTAGACTATTCTTGTTTGAATAAAATTTTGGACATGGATTGGTATTTATAAACAGAGGTTAGGAAGACGAAATTTATTTTGCTGAGGCTTTTCTTGAATCAAGAAATTTCCAGCTCATGCTACTACACTACACTCACGTCACTGCTCCTGTCAGAAAGTGTCAATTCTACCTAGGAAAGTTCGAAGACGTTACCTGAATCTTTTGATCCATATAGACAACTCGTGTTGCAAGAGAATTTTTGCAGAGCTATCTTAATTTTGAATAATTATAGTCAAAGTACAGGTGTTCTGGTTCTAGATTTCACACCAAGGCATCCACGCGCACTCCTTTAAGAACAAGCAGCCCAGATATGCTCTAAGTTCAACTTTGTGGGACTCCTTCATAACATGCTCTCTTACGACAGGATTTTTTTTTTTTTTTAAGCTCAGGTATTATTCAAGAAGAAAAGTCTTGGTCTGTAGATAGGACAGCGCCATTTCAGGAGGATATTCGGATATTCCTCCGTAAACACCGGCAACATTTTGCATTTAAATTTAAATTTAATTGATAAATAAATTAAATTTACATATTAAAAAAGATATTTTATTATTGAATTTAATTAATTTTATTTTCGATATTATTATCATCACATTTATTTTATTCTAATTCTTTTCTACTATTATCACCACAAATAACCTAAAAAAATCAAATCCAAATACCTCTCTCTAAAGCTTTATTTTCTCAAGACTACGCAAGCCATAAAATGAAGGACAGACAATAAAACCTAATATGGGAAGAGGAGTGTTTTGGTGATGTTGCAGTTGAGGTTTGAATGGTGATGCATATTTACTCTGGACAAAGGGAGAGTACTGATGAAAAAAGAGGTGGATAAATGAATATTTTAAAAAAGTCAGTTTTAACATTATTTTTTATAGAGTAATAAATTAGAGAAGATTGCCTCTAATTAACTTTTGTTTTATTTTTAAATATTGATTTTCATTTAAAATATAATTCTTGACTCTTAGAATGGTTTTCTTCAAACATTTGAATTCAATTCAAAGATTCTAAACATGATCTCTGAGACATGGGTGCTTCATATGAAATTAAAAAAGGAAGGGGAAGTTCCCTTCAATCCCGAGCAGTTGAACCCACCAAATTCAGTGGACGACCCCCTGTTTAGTATTTCCAGTTGCATGGTTATTTTCACTATTATTTTTTTCGTACTTTGAATCCTTGAAAGTTTCAGGAGATAGAAATGCTTTTGAAGAAAAGAATTTCAATGAAGACGCCATTTGATAGTAGAATGGACTTTCATGTTGGTCATTATTTGAGAAGTCCAATAAATTCCATATTTTAGCATATAGGTGCATATCAATATGATTCAAGCTGGCGTTGCATGCTATAAATTTGTCGTTCAATATTGTCGGCTGACAATCCTATTGTCGTGGTTTTACCCTTTTTTTTAAGGTACTTTTTCTTTTTTACATTTAAAATAAAATGTGTTTTGCTTTTGCTTTTAATACATTCTTTGACTTGGGGAAGAAATCAATTCATGCACTATATAAAATGCATGAGGTGCTAACGTGCATAGACACACTCGTCTAGAAGAAAATGTTCCATAAGACAGGAGTAATTAAATGCTGCTAAGTATGAAGATAACTGACAGCTTCAAAATTCAATAAGTTTAGAAATAATACTGTATTGCATAGTTATTTAATTTATTCTTTTTTAGATGTTAGACTTCAAATGAAAGGCTGAGATGAATAGGTGATTTTTAATAATCTAAGATAATTAATAGTTAATATTAGTAAAAAGTTCTCATTGATTGGTGTGGAGATTGTTAAATACTTTACTCAGTAATTTTATAAAATAATAATAATAATATTTTAGAAAAATAGGTTATAAAAATATATAAATTTAAAATATTAAAAATATAGAGATGATAAACTTGAAACTTGAAATGTTTGTGGGGGTATTTATAGCCTATAAATCTTGTTATTTATGGAAATAACATATTGAAGTATAATTTTATTTTGTGATATTTCAAGTTATATCCCACTAAAAATAATATTATTAAATTAGTATAAAATAATAAGATATCTACACACGATCTAAAAAAGATTAGGTTTGAGCTAGGTGGGCTTATTTCACGTGTTCAAGTCAGTAAGGATGCTATCATATAGGACCAACAAACAAGCTGTCCCGAATACCCAAAAAAATAATTTTGAGCGGTGGATTAGTTAGCCCAGCACCCCAATTAATTGGATCCGAATTTAATGCATGGATCCAATAATAAATGCTGGCATGCCCCAGCAGGATTAGTTTCACCAACTTGGTTCAAATGATGAAGTTTTTTTTTTTATTTCTTTACTATGATTATTTTATCATGATGTATGTGACTTATTTCACTTGTTTATAGATTTAGTTATAAATTTAAAATTGATTATTGAGCTCAATTTCATTAATTTTAAGTGGTGGAATAAACAAATGAATCTAAAAATAAACATAATTAAATAATTTTTTTAGAT